TAAGCTATATATGTTTATGGCTTTATGCTTAATGTATGGTGTTTGGTTGGCCACGCAGCTGTTAATATTCATCCAGCGTCGTTCAAAATATAAAATAATTTTCTTATAGCCTATAAGACTATTACGGCTGCTACATATTTGAACGATTATAATTTATAGCTTGCACTAGTATGCTTATTGGCATAGATTACGATCATAACTATTCGTTTAACGTTACTGCAATATTTAGTATCTATATAGTATACATAAATAATATATATTGTGTATTTTGAGGCTTAAAATTAATTATTAAACAAACCCGGCAGAGAGAAATAAAACATAATATAATGTCAGCATGATCGTGGCTATACATTTGATCTTGAAAACCGACGGACGAATTAGTTTGCTTTCCGTCGTCGAAATTTGGAAAGTGTATAATGTGTATACTTTATACTGTAGGGATCTATATAATATATTACAGTAGACAGATAATAATACGCATTCCGTGTCGGAGGACTATCAATGGGTGTTACGGTTTAATGGTTATGCACTTATGCGGGAATTTCGTAATTCAACGATATACCATTATTTGGGTTTAATTTACAAATTAAATTCTCGATTACCTACAGGCTGTGGTGAAGTGTATTGTGTATAGAAATATAATAAACATATGTAGTGTAAACAGGAATTTATAGGTTAGGGCAAGGACTTCTCGTTGATAAATGTCAAAATGTCAGGTAATCGTTATAGGTATTATAATAGTATTATACCTAATATGTGCAATTATCTACCTAGTAAAAAATAAAGGGTTGTTCATGTGAAAATTACAAATAATAAGTCTTTTCTTTTTCGAAGTAATCATAGTGTTCACTTTAAAACGAATAATGACGGTAAAACAAAACTCAAAAGTATATACCTACTGTACATGAAAAACTACTATAAGTAAACATAAGTTATAATGTTATACTAATTTATACATTTGGAATAGGTACTTAAAATAGCTAAAACATAGTATATATTATGCGATATGAATATATGATAGGTAAACTGTAAAGTAATATAAGAGTGTTCTGACTTTTAACTACACTATAACAGTATAATCTTAATCAATATCTCTATATATTCATTACCTATTGAGAATTAAATTGTTCAACAAGTTCCTTTAAATAACGGACTAATTATACATCTAAGATCTTACGTAATGGGTAGTAGGTATGTGCTTTATATTTTGACTTCTTGACTCCTGATTAGTAATTACAGTGTGTCACTGTGGCGTATACCTGAAACAAAATATAATATATTATAATGAAAATAATCAAATATTTCATAAATTATTATCAAGACGTGTAATTTTGGTATACCTAAGTGTAGTACCTATGTATATTATACGTAAAACTGATGTTATTTACTATAATTGTTGACTAAATATATTATACTACCACCTGTTTTGTATTAACTAATTTTATTTTTTTATTTTTGTGCTTTTTTTCCGTGGGATTTTTTTCAGTGGACTTTTTTTCGCCTACCTGTATTGATATTTTATCTGTGGGTAATCTTGATTTGGGAAGTTAATAGTTTATATATAATTATAAGTAGGTAATACACACACGTGTTCCATAACCCTACAGTCCCAAAACCCTACAGTACCACACCTACAGCTAATGGCCTCAGCCCTCAGTTGCCGAAGCTTAAAAATAATTTTAAAAAAAGTAGGTAATAATAACGGAATCCTACGTGGTGTAAGAGATCATGGTTGTTCGTTGCTATGATGACAATCTAACACGTTTTATAGTACCTATACATAGTTTGCTAGACATACATACTCTGCTACATACATTGCTATATTTTCATAAAATGTTTTCGCTTTTCGAGTGAAATGTAGAAAAAATGTTGCAGTAATAAATAGGCGTGCATATATTTTATCATACAAATAAGATTTCAAATATTCGAGTATTGATTTTGATTTTGAAAAAAACTGTCATACAATACAATATCAAGGCAATAATAGTACAATAATATTGATAAATACTAATATGGCAATATGTTCAAATAATTAGATGACTCTTGACTAGAATATTTGATCCATACTATTAGATGACAGATATTATTCTAGAAACGTACACGCCAGCGAACAAGCTACATCCGTCAGTCCCCACACCAAGTGTATACTGAATACCATATTTTGTATACCTATTGCCTGCAGCACCTGTGAATGAATAAACTGCACCTTTGCTCAATGCACACAATTATTATTCACAAATCGGAGGTAAGCTGCCGAGAGAAACGCTCCATCGTCGAAGTTTCGCGTACTAAACGCACGCGTCCACGTGAAACGGGCTTGACGTTGTCTCCGTCTTACTAACGCATAACGTCATAACAATATTGAATAGGTAGAACATTCTACAACTACTACATATAGCCAATAATTGTACGTTCTGAATTATTCATTTGACTTTGTTATGTTAATACTAAATTAGTTGACCTATTATCAGTGCCTAGGAATTCTCATTTTAATATAAAAAATATATAGGTATGTAATATTATAATAATACATCCAAATAAGGTTTATTACACTTTACATATTATGTGCTATGCGTAATAACTGATAAATGTAAAACATTTTTATAGTATAAATTCTACCAGTCTTATATATTTTTTTTTGTGAAACGATCGATCACATCACCTGGATTGATTTAAATTTGAATTGGTACACTCGAAAGAGCTAGGTAATCTAACCCGTTGTAGGCCGTACGTCGTAGATACTTAATCTGACAAATTTCGTAAATAGTTTTTAATCCTTTCATAGTAAAAAATATGCATTCAATGTGCGTTCTGGTGTTGAATTCGAAACTGCAGGTAATGTAGTTAATAATTTCAAATGAAAAGATTTATTTGAAAAAAAAATAGAATTAAATTTAGTAGGTATATGCTTCAATAGCTGAATTCAGGTAAAAACGGCAACACGGATAAAGCCTTCAACAAGTTATTGTCATCCGACGGTAAAATATCGTTTGTGATATATTTATTATACATAGCAAAATAAATGCAAACAAAATTTGAATTCACGTGACTTTTTTATATAATTGTAAATAATATAATGTGTTTAAGGTTTTAGATATACAAACGTAATAATATACAGTCAGTTATCATATTAATAGGGAACCATCATAGTAAATTATTATAATTAATTTAGTTTCATTAATTAAATTCATTACTACAAAAAAGATCCGGGATTGGAGGGGGTGAACCGGGAGGTGAAAAACGGCCTTGGGAAGGGACATTATAATTTTTAAGTCTCCTTTTTAATACGTCCGCACATAAGCTGAAATACCTATCGAATATTAATAAAATTATAACATTATAATTTATAATGTTTATTTTATAATACATTTTGGTGCAAATCATTTACAAATGTTGAAATCTAGCATTCTAATAATCTAATACCATGCACAATTTATTTATTTAACGAGGAACGGCGATGGGCAACTTTTAGAAAGTTTGATGAAATAGGATTAATGAAAAGGGTTTTACCGATGCACTTCATTATAACAATACAAGGTTGAAGGCACAAACTAGACGATAAATAGTATAGGTAAATAGAATGCTATATTTAACCAACTGGTTTGACAGCGATGTAGCCATGTAGGTATAATATTCCTTTTCTACAATTTTAACGTTTTGATGAGGCAGCAAAAAGGAGTTGAATCGGGTTTTACTGTCATCTACAAATAATAAATTAGAAATCTAACTCGACAAAAGACAACAATTTTATTTGATCTATACTTATAATTTTTTTTAATATAGATATTATATTTTTGAGCTTGGTTCAACTATTGAAAAAAAATATCTAGCAGCATGCTACTTACTTATAATAAACGATTTTTTTCACGTTTTTATCTAAATTTCTTCAGAACCTTTTATTGGATGCAAATATATGCAATTAGTAACATTTATTAAATGTATGTTATTACCACCATTACTGTTGTAAAATGAAAAAATATAAAGCCGGGTTTTCTCTCTTATATAGTGTGACCCTGTGTTCACTGTTCCTTACATCTTTATAATATTTATTATTTAATACGTACAAACTGTAGACATAAAATCTTTATACTCTTAAGATACAAACACGGATTATATGAAAAAATAAAATAGAATCTTTCACATAACCTGTGCTTTATATGTCTACAATAGTACAATACCTACTTTGTGTTTACATAATTACATCTTAGATGAGTTTAAATCATAATATTATAGGTATGGACGTATGGTGCAGTAATTATCACAGTGTCAGTTTTCCATATGATACCAATGGACACAACGGTTTAATAGATTGACATTTCTATCTTTAACCGTAGGTTTACCTCAAGGTATAGTTAATATTGCTAATATTATATAGATTATAATTTTATCCATGACTTAAGATGATTCTGTTAAATTCTTAAAAATCATAGATAATATTATATACGTATAATATATCAGGGCTCAGAGGTCTTCGATCTTTTAGGCAGCGGGCCACATATTATTTCTTTTAAAAACTCGCATTTGTAAAAACATGTATTAAATTATTAAAATTTAAAAGGTGGGAAAGTATCCAAGTAGGTAACCACTCAGCTGTAGGTACAGCAGGTAGTTGTAGAGTGTACCTAACTGACCTAGTCATTGAGTAAACCATTATGATGCAACATGTAGGCACGTGTTGTATTTAAAATTTAAATTCAATGAATTTATCACTACGAAAAACGATTTGTGCGAAGACAGTTTTTCAGCCCATATGAGGCATTGAGGCATTATTTTATCTTTTGGCAGTGACATAATTGGATACAAATATAGGGGGGGGAAATAATTTATTCACCAAGATCAATTATTACACAAAATATAGACATGAATGTATTAATAAATTATAATCTATACGTAAACGTGAATCCCATCACTATCATTATTATCAAGGTGTATTTATCAACAAAAAAAAGTACACCTTGAGCCTTATCACTTATTTAATCTATTCTGTGGTATTATCACAGAATAACACAATCTAAGGACAGTGATCAAGATTCAAGACACTTCTTGATGTAATAAAATTCACAAGCATAACAAACTACAAGGAGGCAAGCAATATTATAAGTTACAACATCGATCATTACACCTAATTTATATTTTGAAAAAATAGAAATGGGACTAGACAACGAAAACCCAACTTTGTTTGAAAAAAGCGAAGAGAGGACAGTAAGTGAAAAAGATTTGGATGACAATGAAGCCGAAGAGTTTGATTCAAGGGAAATATTTGGTAAATTAGTTTGGCAATTATAAATAATCAACTTTTACTATATCACTGATCCATCGCTTTTTTCTCTCAAAAAATTAGATTTGATTAGAGGAATAACAGATCCAGAACATCCACTGTCCCTTGAAGAACTAAGAGTTGTCGATCAAAATTTAATTGAGGTAACTATTTACTAAAGTATATAAGATAATGACTCAAGGGGAAGTAATACTTATACAGCTATGCTGTTAAATCCCATGTCGGCTGTACCATAAAAAAATGACTATCTATATAACTATACAATTTAAATCTAAAAGAATTCCATGTATATTTATAAGTCTGATAAAAGTAATGAACTTTTTTCTTTCAATAATTTTAAAACAAATTTAACTTTTCAGGTTGTAAAGTTCTACACTTATACATTATTGAGTATACAATCTATCACTGAATAATAATTCTAAATACCAACATTATTCTTCATACTAATATCTTTCATTTTTAAGTATTTGGTATAAAAATAAAATATTATTTAAATTGATAGTCATTTTATATTTTTATATGAAAGGTCTAAACGATCTGTCTTATTTTTGTATAGTTATCTAGTTTCACTTATTAATATTCAAAGACTTTATTGCTGAATTTATATTGGTGTTATTAAACTCACTTGATCATCAACCTTGAGAATTAATAATTAGTGTGGTAAATAAAAAATGATGTAAATCTTGATTTGTAATATACAAATTCCTGATATTAGTTTTTGTTAGTTTAAACTTGCTATCTGGATGTAAAATTGTGACAATTTGAAAGAAGGTGCTCTGTGTAATCAAGGTACAAATGGCAGTTCTTTATTTTAGAATTTTAACATTGATTGTTTATTGATAAATAATACCAATTGTTCATATTGCGTACCATGTTTATGATCTTTGCCTAAGATTCTTTGGTGGTAGTGTATAGTTGTATACTCAATATTATGGAAACTATTAAATTTTTTAACATCTTAAACCAAATTATGAACTACAAAATATGTACCCATTTTATGGCATTGCGGTTCTTAGGTTTGAGACAATATTTTTCTAAATAAATTGCTTTTATACATTTTTTCTTAATACTTATTATCGTCATTTATATTTAAATGTCCACAAAAAAATCAACATACAATAGTTCCATACATTTAACACTAAGCACCTGTGTGTAATGTATTACAGCCATCTGTAACATACAAAATATGGAGAGCACTCGTCAAATTTTATGTTGAATATGATATTCTAATATTTCTTTAATACTATTAAAACATATTTTTATGTTATAGGTTGAAGATAGCATGAATACAGTTAAGGTATTATTTACTCCAACTATCCCTCATTGCAGTATGGCTACATTAATTGGATTATCTATTAAAGTTCGACTTTTATGGTGTTTACCACCGCGTTTTAAAATATCTGTTACCATAACACCAGGTACTCATGCATCCGAACACGCTATAAATAAACAATTAGATGACAAAGAAAGAGTAGCTGCAGCTTTGGAGAATACACATCTATCTACAGTCTTAAATAAATGCATAGCTACTGCATAGGTAATTACTATTTTAGTCTTAAAATTTATATTTGTTCTTAAAGGTTTATAGTTTATAAATATAGTCATCGATACATTTTAAATATTGATAGTACAATATTATTATCCATAAAAACAAATATTAACTTCTATACTACTATGATTTGTATTATAATAATCATCCTTTTTGGTACCTCCAACCATTTTTTGACTATGTTTATGTCTTTTTAACCAATGCTCCTCAGCTGGCTTAAACTACATATGATCTGAAGTCTAAACGTTCCTTTTCCACAATTAATTTTACATCTTGCTAATTTTTTCACGAAAAAAATTGCAACAAGTCATTTTAAAAATAATATTTGGCCCAGTGAAATAAAGTTAGTAGTTGTTTAAAAGCTGTAAAAGTAATAGTGATCCACCAATAATTAATAAACTAAAATTGTTTTTAATCCAGTGTTAACAATAATGAATATAAAATAAATAACAATTGTATTAATTATTATTCATTCTTGCAGTATCGCGTAAAGATGTTACTACTAAAGGAAAAACTAATAAACTCAATTTGATAGTACCTGAAAGAAGAAATACATTTTATGTTATAATATTATTCTTATATAAAAATTTTGTGTATTTGTTCAACTACCTATTATAATATGACAAACTGTTAACTATATTAAAAATAAATACAGTTATGAACTAAGTATAGTATAATGAGACCTTTAAACAATGAACACTTGGCTTAAATTTTCAAATTAAGCTTTTTTAAGAAAAATGCCCATGTATAAATCATTGATTTTATTATTAGATGTTTATTTGATTTAATAAGTACTTGCTGTTTAGAAATAAATTGAAAAATTAACATAATATATATACAGTGAAATCTTTAAATATTGGACACTCTCGGTCACCATAATTTTTTTTATTTAGAGGTGTCCGCTATTTGGAGGGTAAAAAACTTCTCGAAAATAACTCTATTCTAGAAATTAATAACTATATTTATATAATATGTATAATAATGATATAAGTATGTATATTTGTATTATTTTAATTATAAATAAATAAATAAATATCAATTGTATATATTATTATTCAAAATTATGATATAATTACTGAAAATGTAAATAAAAATAAAATTATGATATAATTACTGAAAATGTAGATAAAAATTAACATTTATTAAAAAAATCAGTTACTTTAGTTTGTTTAACTGAGATGTCATGTTTGGTGGGTAAAACACAAGTTCAACAGTTCTAATGTTTATGAGATTAGAAGCCGCGTTGTCTACAAAGAGTACAATTTTTCTTTTAATTTTTATTCATTTGTTAATCAAATTTTCTAAGCCAGTCGCTCATTATTATAGTTGTCATCAAAGGTAAGATAACTTTACACAACATACATTAGAAAAATGTTTTCATCGACACGATAACGGATAGATAGGATTAATTATAATTGTGTATAGTACAATAATATTTTACAGTAGTCAGTAGGAGAGTTAAATTAGACAGATAGTTAGTTATTTATTAAGGCGTTCGACAATTATTCTATATTGACGATAAAAAATGTCAAAAAAAAAATTAAATTACTATAAAAGTGTCCGGTATTAGGGGTTTTCCCATATAAAAATGGAGAAAATGTTTCCGTTCCCATAAAAACGTCCTCTATTCGGAGGTGTCTGTGAAGGGATGAGGGTTCACTGTGTATGTATAATATTTACTCATTTACAAGTGTAATCCATAATTTTTTATAATTTAATATTTATGCAAGTCTATTAAAAATAAATTTGTTGGTTATGATATTAACTATAATAGTATATTTTTATACTTTTATCTCTACTTACGATATACCTTGTTTCAATTCTTAGCTGTACAAAAAACAAATCGAACATTTTATCAATTTGATAGATTTTGATGAATTTTAATTTTGAATGCTTATAAAAAATAATCGCGTCTACTTGTTAAATATTTTTGTATTACTACTATAAAAATATACGAAGGAACCTTGCATCATATTTTCAAGCTGTTCGACACAGATCTATAAGTATTTAAAAAAATCGACATTTTCCTTTTATGCCTCTAAATATCTCAAAAGAGTACAATTATTTTGAACATTTAGTAAACAATTCAAGCATCTAGGGTTATTTGTTTTTGAATTACAAAAAACCAAGAAAATCGCTCAATGAGAAATAGTTAATAATTTACGGGTGAATATCTAATGTCGAAACCATTTAAACTTCAAATGCTCATGAAAAATTAATTTGACTTTCATAGAAATTTATTTTTAATGTTAAAGGTAGACTTATGAGTTAAGAGGAATCTTGTATAAAATTTTCAAACTTATCTATAAATATAATTTTTTTATGAATTTCTAACTCCAAAGAATTTGAAATTGCTAATTTGAACATTCAGTAAAAATTATGAAAATTATCTACTGTTATTTGTTTTGGAGTTACGTCGTTTTGAGTAAAAATTACCGATTTTCCTTTATTTGAAAACTACTAAGAATTTTCAATTTGGACGTTGGACTTCTCAAAAGCACCAACAAGACATGAAGTTGAAAATCGATACATTACCTACTCAAAAAATCTACAAACTAAGAAAAATCGAAAATGTCTATAAATTAATAACTTAAAAGTTAAAATAATTCGGAATATTTTTAAAACTATTTCATGTAAAGAAATATTAGATGAAATAGGTATATTATTAATTATTATGAACATTTGGTAAAAAATTCAAGTTTCTGCAGTTATTCGTTTTAGAATAACAACAAAATATATGAATATTGTTTGAGGAGAAACTAGTTTGTGTAAGATTTCAATTTTTCCCTAATCGTTTTGTTTTTCCCAACTTATGAAGAAATATTGGTAATTTTTATTTTGACCATTTGACCTCTTAAGCACCAATAGATCCTTCTTATTACTACGATAAACTACTACCAAAATTGAAAATCGAACCATTTTTCTTGTAAACCTACATTGGGCTACACACAAAAAACAACTGATGTACGCACAGCTCAGAATCGACATTTTTCGAGATAATGACAAACGGTCACAAGTTAGAACGTATTGTATTGTGATTAGATATAGATCATACGTATCTTAGGGTCAGAATGCTAGATTCTTCGTTAGACCTTCTATTACTACGGTTACATGCATAGCCGTTCTATTTAACTAGATTCGAATGAGTTCGTTATTCGGTTTAGTTAATTCACATTAGAAATACGCAATGGAAATAACTATGCACAAAATGCATATTAAGGAAGAAGCATGACACTAAGAAGTGGTATCGGCGAGCTCGACAACTGACAAAGGACAAACCTTTGAGCGCCGAGCGGCATGAGCATAGAAAAAAGATTAATGAATGAGCGCCGAGTGGCGGCAACTGGCAAGTGTTTACCAGCTGACAATGACCTCTAGGCTCTGGCGCGGTCCGGTTGATACTTGATAGTTGATACTACCATATATAGATAAGAGTCGTCCCGTCCCGCAATGACAACTTACTGTTGGCATGCCTGCTGACGGTCATCGGCGGCGCTGCAGCTGCTGCAGGCCACGGTCTGGAGACCGTGCCGCAGGCGCTGCTAACACCCTATTTGCGGTCTGCGACTTCTGATAACACCGATTGATATTTTGATAACATTCTCGACTTCTCGTATCGCATTTCTTCGTACTTATTACCTATACAAATTACAAAAGCGAAATACGAATAATATATTTTTTTTTACTTTATACATTATTATTATTACTACTATAATTTATTGTATATGTGTCTTTGCACGCGCACACTGCACACGTCAATAACGGCATACCTATTTAATGGTATCCAAAACGCTAAAGTCTTCGCGTCGCATAAAATGAGGTACAGACGTCCGACGTGCCCGATGCGTTTTACACAAACAAACCGCCGCCGCCGTGCACAGCGATTTGGCGCACGTCCGAAAATAACGCGATGTGTTCTCTAATTTATATTACTCTAATTTTTTTATCAATACAGCAGTCGAAACAAGCGCCTATCCTCGTCGTAAAGTTCTCAGTGGCAAGGAAGACGGCGTAACCTGACCCGCCACCGGCAGATATTCAACACATCGAATCGCCAAAATTATCCGATACCCCCGTTTCGTTGGTTGCAATCTCAAAAAGAAATATCATCAGGTTAGCATATTCTGACTCCCATTTTCGTTCGACATTGTGTTACAGCAACTTTTTTTAGTAAAGTAGCAATAAACTTAAAATTGTATACACACATACAGTAATTGGGTTGAAGTAATGAAATACTATTTATTTGGAAGTGATAAAATATTGCATATTTCACGGATCTCTCTCTAAATGCTATATGCTTGATAAATGAAAAAAATACATTTTATTGAATTAATAAGTCAAATAAATAATTTTATTACAAATCAATCACAAATGTTAACAATTAAGTATAATAACTTATACAAGATTAGGTTTTTTATTTGATAAGACAATATTTATATTTTTGAAGCAAGTTGACATAAATATAAAAAACAATATTGTAGCGGTTAATTTTAACCTTGTGAGCTATGCATATAATGTTGCTATATGTGTGCCTATAATCTTAACTAACTAATAATTAATGTGTTCAGAAATTTATGTTAGTTAAAAGTTGTTAATTTTTAGAATGGAGACTGACTGTAAATCAATTTCAAATCAAAAAAATGAGTCTAATCCAAGTTATAATTGGAAAGATGTTACAACAGAATTTTTTGATTCAATCAAAGGTAATATAATAATTATTGTCTTGCAGACCAAATATATCGATATTTTTGTAAGATCTTTTCCGTTCCACACCACGTTTTTATAAGGCAACTTTTCCTGGTTTACCCATCTAGTAAGTGATCTCTATGCGTGCTGTAAAAAATGGGTGTAATATTACCTAAAAGATCCTTTTTGTAAAATGTAATACTTTTTTATTAGGATCATTGATTATCCCTATTATATAGGGACAAGGGTGAAAACAAATTCAAGTTAATTCATAATCTATAACCTATGAGTGGGAATAACTTAAATATGGCTTAATCCCTACTAAAAATGTAAAATAAATGATAGCACCTATGTTTATATGTTTATCTTTACCTGTGTTAATATTAAACTTATGATATAATAACTAATACAACTTCCATTAATCAATATTCTATAATCAATATACTTCTTAAATTAGTACATAAATCATTATCATGTATACATACAATTGAAGAATGAGAGATAAAATAGAAAAATTATGTTGTCAGTCATTAAGTCATTAACTTTCCTTTTTGACATACTTCACTAACTTTTGATCAAGGTAAAAATATTTTTATATCAAACTTGTCATATTTATTAGGTGTTTAATTTTTTTTTACTTATTGTATATAAATTGCCATATTATATGACATTATTATGTCATAGAACGTGTAAATAAAGTCATATATTAATTTTTTTAAATTGTATTCTGGAATGTATTGTTTTTGATATTAATCTTGTAGATTATTTTTTAGAATTATAAGCAGAACTAATTAATGTTAAATGTTTGGTACCTGTAATAATTGTTTTAGTGATTGAATTTAAAATGTTTTTCACCTAAATAGTGAGGTAGTTGTAACAAATATTATCATTGTGATACGATATATAAATGTCAATAATTGAAACTACATACCTAAGTTTAGATGATATAAGTTAGGAAAACTTTAAAAAAAAACAAATGTTATCAAACCAATACATTTCTCTAATGTTTAAATTATAGTCTATCTACTGGGAATATTTATACTTACATATTGTCATAAAAATAGTCAATGTCGTTATTGTGA